AAGATCACTCTTTAATCAGTTATTTTTAGGACAGGGAGCATGCAGTGATTTGTGTTATTATGAAGCATAACGTTTTTAACCCTGCATTTGCAAAGACGTTTATTCTTGTCCAAACATAGGGTGGAGTGACTTTAATCGGCCAACAATGACGGTGGCTTTCTTTGAGATGGCCTGAGCCTCTTAAATATAGAATTATTCCATATCATTGTTGGTTGGCCCAAACAGCAGTTTAAAGTCAGGTCAGTGGTTACTGAGGATTAAGGGATCAAGGCTGAATTCTTTAATAGAAGCTGAAGTACTGTTTGCTTGAAACGGGATGAATACCAGTGTCCAGAGAGCTGTTTGTGACTGAGATCATGCTGGGATAAACTTTTATCAAAGACCTCCTGGAAGAGCTCCTCTGCAGGGACAGGTGGTGCACTTCATATGAGTAATATCTCTTTAAAAATATTATAGGAAGTTTGAAAGGGCGTTATAGCAGCAGCAGATCTGGAGTCCAATGCACACAAGCCTTTGGTGAAGGATAAAAGCATCACCATGTTTCTCCTCAGAGGTTTTCTGTTCTGCAGAAGCTGGATAGCAGAGTTGATTACACTGAACAGAAGCTCTGTGTTGTGACAAGGTTTAGATAACAGCTCAGAGTATGCCACTCTCCTCTGCACACAGTATATATCTCACATTACAGTAAGGCTTTCATTGGGTCGGGAAATATTTACATTCTGTGGGATGCCTGTTGTTCTCCATCTCAATCTGTTTCCTGAGTGAAGAGGAGGCTGTGAAGTTGCTTTTTTTTTTTTCTTTAAATAGTGCAACAGAGCTTCATTCAGGGACATCATTCACTATTGAATGGGAATTGTCTCATCTTTGCAAGCTTTGAGAAGCTCACAGTATTTTGTTTTATTCTTTCAAAATGTGCCAAGAGGGTTTGATTTCAGCTCTCTGGAAATTTGTGAATAGTACTTTTGGTCTTTAAAAAAGATGAAGTTGCTGTTGCCAGGTCTCACCCAGGCTTTGAACATTTTTTTTACTGCCTGAGATTTAACTCTTATTGAAGTAGCTTGAAAGGTGATGCCAACCTGCATCCTCTAGTTTTTCACTGAAGCAAACGGCACACAGGAAGACATCTGTGGGAGGATACCTAAGCTTTTCCACTCCTGCTTCTTTCATCTGATCCCTCGGTGCCACTCTTCTCCTACCAGGAAAAGAAACTTGGAGGGGATGATAGGAATAAGTGGTAAAAAAAGGAGGAGGAGGGGATGAAGAGAGCATTTGGGATTTTGATGTTTAATCCTTTTCTATAAGGAAAAATTGGCACCTGTTATTGCTAAAGTGGTGAGACGTATATAGCCCACAGGTTTACTTTATGTCTGATCTCAGAGAAGACAGGTAAGGCAACAATTTGCATTTCAAAGCATGGGAGAAGCACCACAGATGTCTGGGTGTGGCTGAAGTTGCATCATGTTTAAAACTTTATAAAACATTTTTTTCCCATCCTGTATTAACGTATGCTCTATTTAGATAATAATACGTTTGATAGGCTGGAAGCTATCATCCTGCAGGCACATCAACAATAACCCCAGGCTCCATCTGCAAATTGTTCTTTATTTTTCCGATGTTTGATAATCAACTTCGCTTCTGATGACCTGCAAGGCAATGTTACACCCACGCAGATGATTTCATAGTTATTCTGAGCAGCCCACTTCTGGCTGTTGAACTATGTTGCATAGGTAAGAGGAGGAAAAAATAAAACCATGCAATTGTTATTTTACAGAAAACATTTCTTCAGTACGAGGAAGGAAAGTTTAGGTATAAATAATTAAAGGGACGACACCTGCATTTCATTTGGTTCCAGAGACCGGGGGTTCTCGTAGTCGTCTCACTGTCACACTGTCACACTGTCGTTGTTAAGCGGGAACACAGAGCCCTGTACTCCTGGGTAAAGCAAGAACATGGCTTGGGGTGAAAGAGCTAACTAGCAGAACACCTTGAAGGCAAACTTTGAGGCAATGAGAAGAAGCCAATCAAAGCACATTGGGAGAAATAAAACTCTGAGCAGAGGTGTAATAGGCATGAATCGTAAACACCTGCGTAGGCGTGCATTGCTTTTTAAAGGTAGACTGTGGCACTATTAATATTGGGGAGGCTTTGTTACTTAAATATTCCCCTTCACTGTGCGGATTCAAACTAACTGCTAATACATAACCTCTGCCAACCGCTGCCTCTCTGTGTCCCTGCAGCTGAACCAGTGAACCTTGAGTTGTAATCCATATATCCCTGCCTGTGAGCTTTGCCTAACAGCCTTTTGATCCTCTTTGCTGATTCACTTTGTCTGTTGAACGTTGTCATGAATTCATTTTGTGTCCCTGTCAACATGAACTCTTTAAGTTCTAGATCTCTAAAAGGAGACGTACTGTGATTGGAAGTTCAAGGACTTTTAAAGCAAAGCAAAGAACAACAACAGAACACGTCGATCAAAAACTCACTTTTTGCCCAAACACCTCGACTTTCTGAACACAGTGATTGTTTGAATTCTGTGAAACACCTGTGTGACTGCCACAGATAACTCACTTGAAGTTGGTGTTTACTCCTGAGCCAGTACACTCACCGATAATAATCCACAACGTAATAACTGCTGCTGAGGGGTGATGAGGGCGAGAGACCTCTATTTTGGTAAGCAGCTTCTTCATGATTGCAGTCATGGCTCCATCTCTTGCTTTCCCGCGGCAATATCAATTATGCAATATCTCTGTGGAGATTGGTATTATGGTAGCACAAAACCTTTTTTAAGCAGAGCTGCTCTTAAGGGCAGTAATTATCTTGCTGGCGTACTGTCAGGGAAGGAAAATTAATTAGAAAGAATTAATTGATGTGGAAGTATCTAACTAGCGGCCAAGGTTGAACTCTCGGAAGGTGATTCAGAGCTTTTGCCCCAATAAAGACGCTATGTGCAATTAAGGTGTTTTTAAATGCGGACAAACATTTGCATGCCTGTAATCATCTGTAGCATTTACTTCTGTAATTTGTGCAGTTACTTTTGTTATGGTTGTATGTGTTGGTTTATCTTTATTCTTAACTTCTATTGCAGCATTTCCTTTTAGGATCATGAGAATGAAAAGATAAAAAAAACATTTCGACTACTTTTCTTTTTGGGCAGTGAAGACAGACAGGAAATATGGGGATGGGGAGGGCTGGCTTCAAAGAGCTACAGTCTATGTATGGACCCTCAAAGAACTGCAGTATTTTGAACTTCTGCATCGGTTTCACTGAACAAAACCAGCGTTTCTCCTTACACGCTATGCACGTGTCACTTGACTCTGTCTTTCAAATACACAACATTTTGCTTTATATCTCTGTTTAATTAACAGGCACTGTTAAATGTTGGTTTACTGAAATTCAAAAAAATCTCTTCTACAATGTAAAACAACACAGATATGGTGTTTCCACACATGCGCAAAAACTCCTGAAGTATTCGACGTGAACTGTTTGTGTGTTGTGTGTGTGTGTGTGAACACCAACAGCTTCATTTTCCTCAAGAATATTTCCTGCCAACTCCCTTGAAAAATACCTTCATGGAGTTGGGATGAGCCGAAAACACAGCAGATAATATTTAGGTTACCACACATTTTGCATGTTTTCAGACAATCAGCCGTCTATGAGGAACGAGACCTCAGATTGCATCGTGCACCCTGTCAGTATGAGGTACGGGTGCTGATATAAAGGAGGGAATGCTCCAACTTGACCCCAATGTGTCAGCGTCTGCTGATGAGGCATCTGGTTGACACTCTGTAACAATCACTGGTGATATCAATCAGCAGCAGATCACAGAGGGAGTAGCATGCAGAGGAGCTATGCTAACATATTAAACAGCGAGTACGGAGGGAGATTTCACAAGTGAGGATTGAGATGGGGGAAAGGGGGGTTTACTATTATCTGGGGGCTGCCGCGCATTGTGAGAAAATGGGCATGCTAATGAGGGCAATACATGGAGAACAGCTGCATTGTAAATGAGCTGACTTTGAACACTGGGGCTGGGATGACTCTCTGAAGTGTTGTTTGTTAATCAAAGGAGGAAAACAGAAAGAAACAAATGACTAAAAATAGTAACAGAAAGCTCGGTGCAGCTTGGGCCTCTGTTGACACACATACAGCTGTGCTAATTGGTAGGAAAAGGTTATACCATTACTTGTATTCACACGATTAAGGCAGCTTGAGGTTCTATGAGCTACCTCTGGACATGAAGCTGACTGACAATGCCCCGGTGTATGGCTGCGTCTCAGGCTTTGCCTTAAACACTCAGACACTTTGAAGTTTAAAACCAGGTCAAAAGGGAAATCATCCGACGAGAGGTCACAGGATTTCCCTCATCGATAATAGGGAAAAGTTAAATTCACAGCACTGCCCGGTCTTATCCTCTCTATCGATTCGGGGGAGAGAGAGAGGACTCCCACATGCATAGAACACCACCAAGATCAAGAGGTCATGGGAAACGCTTTGAGGAATGTGAGTGAAGGCCTGTTCACTTTACCTCAGGGTGTACTCTGTGCCTGAAATAACAATCCGAAAGCAGAATTCAATAAACATTTATTTACAAAGAACAAAGTAAAATGACAAAGAATAAATTGAAGAGTGGATACAAAACATGTGCTAATATGATAAAATACATTATCATACACAACGTATATCTTATGAATGTGTTAAATAAACTCTGCTTAGACTTTTTGGGAATCTGTACAGGCTGAGTCGAGGAAGCAGGCAGCCACAGTTGGATTGCTTTACGTTATAAGGGTTATTGCATTTCAGTTTGTATTTAAGGCAAGGATGAGACATGAAGAGGAGACAGAAACACTTCACGTTACAATGAAGCAATATTACTTTTCTCTTCATCACAGGGCACACTATCACATAAACATTGAGGGAAAAGGAGGAAGACATAAAAAGAGAGAATATTCTTTTTTGTTAAAGAAATAGTCATGTAACATTTTTTTTTTTTTTTTTTTTACAAAGAGGATTGGTCCGTACATTATTTCATTTATGAACAGCTTGTTAAGAGAAGACCCAGTTTTCAAAGCCACGTGTTTGTGCTGCATAATGAAACAGTCCCTGCAGTTGTCTGACGAGTAGTGTCCATGATGTGCAGAGCACCAGAATGACTTGCTGTCTTTGGTGCCTGGTGTGCTGTACTGCTTTGAGGAGTCCATACAGTCAGAGTCCTCTCCCGCGCTGCGTACCTCCCGAGGTCTCTTCCCGTCCCCGTCTCCCCGATGCTTCCTGTCAGTACGGGTACTGCTTCTGCTTCTTCCCAGCGAAACAGGACAGCCAGGTGCACAGCAGCATGGCAGCCGCCGCCCCGGCCCCTGTGCAGTAATATGCCCAGCCGATCTGACAGGAACCTGCAGAGGAAAGAAGAGGATTCAGTGTGATATCCTATCACTCTTTATTTTATCTGTCTGTCTGTCTGTCAGCAGGATATCTCCAAAAACCCAGGAATGGATTTCAATGAAATGAGAACAGATAAGAGTTTGGCAGAGGAACAGCTGATTTGTTTCAGTTTAACCAGAATGTTTGAGTGTCTGAAGAGACTTGAACTGTTCCCTCTACATTTATAAAAAAAAACTGCTGATCATGCGAGCATCACCACTATGATTAAGGTAAAAAAAAAACCCATTCCAATAGAGAAGAGCTCAAGCTTAAAAGTATAATACGATTAAATAAATAAAGTGCAGGAGGATCAGCAAAGTTAATATTTACAGGATGAGAGACTTTTGAGTTTTAATGAGGCTTTTACCCTGCACTGCATTGTAGTGTACACGTAGTGACTGTTCAAAAGATTTAACAACTCTCACTGAACCTTGGTGCATAATTCATTATTCATTCATGCACCCACTGTGGAATTTCTACCTCCATTATACACGTTTGTGTTCATAAGAAGTCACAGCGGTAGAACTACTCAGTGTTCATGGTTTTCTGTGAGCATTAATAGTAAGGTTTGGCTTTAGAGTGACAGCCTGACGTTCATCCAGCTGTTATGTCTGTTGCAGTTCACCAACAATAAACATGTTCCTTTTAAATATATCATCTATTACTGCTGCTGACTGTATAACACTACTCCCTCTTTCCTTGGCTCAGTGGTTAACATGTTTGTGTTAAAAAAAAAAGACAATATTGTAAACTGCACTTAACATTTCTACACATGACACAACATTTCCCTCCTTCCTGTGAAAAAAGAGTTAGCACTGTTAAAACAAATGCACTGAATGTAGTATGCAAACAGACCGTCTGGTATGTGGAAACTGCACTCACAGGCTCACAGGTTGAGAAAAACGCAGAAACTAAGCCAAACTCTAAAAGCAAAGAGAAAACACAAAGTTCCACCAAAAGACGCATCTTTATAATCCTCCGAGAATATCCTCTGCAACGTCAAACAAAGATGTGACTTCTTGAAATCTTATGCTTCAATTTGAAAAGGTTTTAATGACCATCAAGACATCTCATTAAAACATCGTATTTTATGAGGATATCTGATCAAATAAAGTCATTATCTAATAACCAGCTGAGCTGGAAGAGGAAGCGTCTCATTAACAATTCATGTCGAAATGTCGCCACACTGTTGAAACCGGATCTAACAGCCAAAACTGAAAATACTTTTGTCCATAATTCTCAAGTTGTATTGCTTTTTCTAAGCAATAACTTTTTGCATGCATTAATTCTGTAGAAATAAACAAGAGCACGTCTCTTAGACATACTGTACATTCCATTAATGTGACCTACAGCTAAAATCAAAGTTATCTTTAAACGACTGAAGTGCTGAATGTTCTCTTCATGATTAATGAATGAGTCTATGAAGGAGAGATTTAAAGCTGCAGTAGACGAGACGCATCATTTCTGTGAAACACTGATCTCGAGGGAGAACATCACAATGTTCCTGTCAAGGGCGCAACCCACGAGGAGGTGAAACTGAAACAACGGGCGCTGTCATCTTCAGCGAGTCAACTTAATATGCCAGAGGCAGAGAACAGCCGAGTGATGCAAACAAACTTGTTAGCAACATTTGATACTGAGCGCCCTGTTCTTTCAAAGAGAAAATCACATAATTATCCAACATAATTACTTGTGGTGACATTTCAGTAATTAAGAGGATGTTTAGGAATTTAGATCAGTCAGAGCTATGTCCTCCTATATTAAATCTAACGGGTTTGATACAAATGCTGCAAAAACAGTCGAATCTGTCATCTGACTGAGCTGTAATCTACGGTCATCTATAATTCAACTGACAGGAAATCCATAAAAAACTGTGTTAGAGCCTTGGATTTATTTCAAGGAGTTTGTCCTTCCTTCTGTCCAGAGTACCAACTGCTGACCAGATTATCATGAAATAAGACATAAATATTCATCGTGTAGAGGTCTTTATGGTCCTATCAGTTTAGACGATCCCTTTGATAACACATCATTGATTGGTCAAGTTTCCTGGATATTGGCTCTGGATGATCCTGGTCTGCTGTGAGTGAGTCCAGTTTCTTTGGGGGTCACACTGACCTTTCTTGTAGCGCCATCATCAGGCCAAAATGATCATTTATACAAAACTTCTATCAGTGATACGGTTCATAGTGACCCTTGCCTGAAAGCCATTCATTAGTGTTTTGGTTTTCTTACCGATCTGTAGACCTCAGATTTATGAAGGCCTCTTTAAAACCCGATCCCCATGAGACCATTTTGGGATGTTTTTGATTTTTCTTTCCGAGTTAGGCTTCCATTTGTATCTCTCTTAATAATAATCTATGCGTTATCTGCTACCTGCCTGTCTATTGTTGACTCGTGTTGTGATGAAGTCGGAGAGGTCGCACAATGAAACACATCTAAGTTTTAATATCTCCTCTCTAAGGTTTGCGATCTCTGAATCTTTCTGCACGTAAGCAAAGACATGTCATCCCGCATTTCTGATCTAACAAATATCAAAGGCGAGTAGCTGCAGTGACATTTAGCATTACATCCCTGGTTTCCAACAGCAAAATCCTTCTCATACATATTTTTCTTTGCGCTAGCGCTATCCTAAAGTCCAGATGTTGACTTTGAACACAACATATCTCAGAATCGAGAATGACGAGGATGCACCAGGTGACTTTGAATGACTCCATCCCTTTTATGAAGCCTTTCCCTCGTGATATTTGTTCCCTCTTTTTTTTTCCAGACGTGGCACTGGTGAGGCGGTAAGAATGAAAGAAAGACTAAATTAGATATATTAGTATTATAAAGGGATAATAAGAATCACACTTCACCTGGGACAGTAGTTGTAACAATCCACACTTCTTTAAAGTTATTTAGTTGAACAAAAACACATAACCACGTTTCTTGCTCGTGGAGTGTATAAAAACAAAATGCAGAGGCTTTTTAGGTTGGGTGCAATCAGTTATATCTAAACCTTATGTTTGCCCGTTTCCATCGCTGCAACACCTGTTGGTTTGCCGTAAAAACCGCCTACCTTTCCAGGTAATACAGACCGACTTCTCTGCATTGCTGTCAGAGCAAGCGTCTATCCTTAAGGTCTGATGATATGTGTTGTATATGTTTAAAAAAAAATCTGATATTATACGATTAGCGTTAAATAAAAGAGCAGCAGCAGTATGAATAACTCCAGCATCTATCTGATACAGTAACATATCTCTGTCTGGGAGATAGTACGGAGAACGCCGGCTGAATACAGAACACAAATCAGGCCCAGCTTATTCTCAGCACATATTTATAGCTAAGAAACACTTTAGAAAGAGACTGGAGACTCTCTTTGACTTTTTTAATGTTGTGTGTGTGTGTGTCTGCTTTGTTCCTAAGAAAAGGCAGAATATCAGGGAGCAGATTGAAAAGAGTGTTCTCAGTGTTCATTGTTTCAATCGTTTTTTATCTGTAGGGGGACGGCTACGTTCAGCTAACACAAGATAAATTAACACAGTCATGGTTGAAGGATCAGTTTGTTATTTGGGCTCTTTACACAGGCTGTGTGTGTGTGTGTGTGCATGCGTGCGTGCGTGCGTGCGTGTTAGTGTTGGATCTGCCTGCTAAACTTACCCAGCTGAAACTGGTCCGAGCTGTTGTTGCAGGTCTGCTGTACTTCCTCACTGTCCCATCCCAAAGGATAGAGTGCACAGCCAGATCCTATGAGCAGACCTGAGAACGAGAGAGAAAGAGAGAGTCTGTCAGTCATGAAGGAGTCGCTGTAACTGAACAATGAGGATTCCAAAAATATTACAAAAAATAGCTGTACAAGACTCTGTCTGTGGGGAAGGGGGGGGGGGGGGGGGTGAAATGACAGCAAGGTCAAACTCTAACCACGAGGTGTTCTCTCGGATGCTTTTGAGGAAGGTCAGCATCGTTTTTAGGAAGACTCGTGTCTGTGGGTTTAAATAATTCAAGAAGGTTTTCAATAATGAGGAGGAGAAATGCAAAACTGTGCTATGCTTTTCTTTTTTTTTTTTGCATCAAGCCATCCTGGAAGGTGAAATCAATTTAAACTCTGTTTTTATGTGGATTCTCGCTCATTCTTTGGTCAATGTCATACTGAAAATGTTTAAAAAAAGAAAAAGGAAAAATAGGCTGCCGCTCTCACACAGACTGATGTGTGTGCCGTCACCTCTGTGATATGCTTTCACCTTATCGAACGTGAACAGATACCGACGGGGAGCATGCTCTGACCTGTTCCAAACAAGCCTCACACCCCCTTTTGTGGAAATAACACGGATCGTGATTTTAATACTTCATCACGTTTATTCTGCAACAAAACAAAGTGCTCCTCTGCCAGCAGCTCATAAAATAGCTGCAAATGAACAACCAACATATGCAAATAGCTTGGCAATTTCTCACAGAGGCAACAGCGAGGAAAACAAGCATTTTCGGTACGCAATAATTACTGTAAAACTCCGGAAAATCCTTGAGGGATTGCTTTATGTCAGTGATTAAACAGACTTATGAGTGCGCTTTAAGCTGCGCACAGAGACAAGAGTAAAATCTAGTCAAGGCCATTACATTAAGGATTAATATCCACAATATTAGCCTGTAGCCAGGTCTTGACAAGTTATTCCCTGGATGCCAAGGCCTGTCTCTTGAAATTACCCCGTGGGGCCCCCTAGTAGGTGGCTCTGCCATCACATTAGCTTAATCCCCTCTGCCGTGTCTGCCCTGCTATCAGTTTTTGGGATGCGAGGATGGCAGCACAGGAAAGGAATGCCAGAAAGCTCTGCCTACCAACTAGGACTGCCTAACTACATCTAGGCCAGATAACAAGCAGAAATTAATCCACATGCTAATGTAGACGGGCTCCACAAAGCGGCTACAGCATCGGAGGTGGAGATGCAGACGTGAAAAAGACATCTGTGTTTTCACCAGTGTCAGCCGAAAAGGACAGTGAATGTCATGGGCTCAGCTCTGGGAGAAAATAGACCGGCTGATCGTGGCTCCTGTGGCAGAGAATCAATTCGGTGAACGCCGGCATGTTGATGAGAGTGAAAGGATATAAAAAGGCTCTAACCAGGGCTGTGTCATTACAGCTCAGGATCAGAGGGAATCCAGGGATTGTCATACGGAGAAACTCTGCCGTTTCTTCTTCAGACCCTTAAAAGAACTTCAGAGGAGTTTCTTCTTCAGACCTGAAATTACTACCTTTAGCTGAGCAGTACAGCAGGAGTTACACAGGAGCATTTGATGTGAATCCCTGTGCAAGAAGCCGCTGTGGACCCCAGATGAACGGAGAAACCCACGATTCTCTGAGGTGCAAAAATGCATTTAGGAGCCAGCAAGCAAGCATACACACAGTCCTTAAAATATTCTCAGTTATATAATGTTATGGATTCATGTGTTTTGATTCATTTTTGTAACAGTAAAGACCGTAAAGCATCTGAGCATGTTAATGTATTCATGATTAATATTTAACAAAATCTGAAATTCTCTTTCAAGTGTTGTGTAATGCAGAGATATACAGCAGCATGTAATCAAATCAAATTTCTTTGCAGCACAAGGAAGGGGAAAAAAAATAATGCAAGGCAGAATGTGTCTTTGTTTCCGTGACATATTGTTAGACCATCCCACACAACTGCTTTATTTCCATTTGCAAAATCAAGATTTACGAGGATCCTCAATCAGTCTTTGATTAACACATTAGTTCAAATCATCAAAACTGTAAAGAGCTGCAGATCTGAAGCAGGCACCTCAGAGAGAAGGAATGGAAGAAAGGCTGCAGTGCATACTTTCCACATCAGGTCAGATCATGATGTTGACTGGGAATGTTTTGTCGGGGGGGAAAAAAGACGACAGACAGGAGGGAAATTATTGCCACAACAAAGAAAATAGCTCAGTTCCATTGTGAAACACACACACAAAAAAAAAAACCACCTCAAAGGTTTGTGGGTGAAGCGTCAGTTCGTTGTTTTTTTGGGGAATAACTCAGTGAGCCTGAGAGTCTGCAGTGGGAGAAATCAATGTGAGCGGCTCACACGTTCCCATGACACTACTGAGACACTAACTGCAATAAAAAACCTGGAGCGGATAAACAAAAACAAAACCATAATTCCAAGGCGCTTATCAATTCCATACGTGGCCCTATTTTACTTACTTGCTTTCATGTATTTTGATAGATTGATTTTTCCCACTGTTGTTAATTCCACTCAATCCCATCCTCCACACTTCTTTGGGTTAGTGAGCAGCAGAGGTAGGTGCTGACTGGGATGTGGGAGAAAGATTAACACAAATGGAAAATGGGTTTTATTTTTTTTTCCACATGATGTTATGCTGGAAAGATTTGTGGACTTGTGTAGGTCACTACCTCAGGCTCTGTTTCTCCATGGGTGCTGTTGGAGATGATACTTCTCGCCCTTCTTATTGCCTGAGCTGACACGGATGCGCCTCAATCTGCACAAACACACGCACACACACACACTCTGGGATTTGTGTCATTTAGCGTGTAGTTGTCATCTACAGCAGAGCTTCAAATCTTGTTGGCCTTTGACCTCTTAAACTGAGGCCATGCTTTCTCGTGACCTACCAGTCACAGACTGCATATGAAGACGCTTTTTATTGTTACGTAATGTTATGTTGTTTGGTTTCATTTTATGAATTCCCATAAATTCTTGTGTGCTAAATCTGGTGTCCTCGCCCCCGGCTTGAGAAGCACTAAGCTAGCAGACACGTCACAGTCACAAGCTCTACCCCGCATGCTAGACTCCATGAGATAAGATAAAAAAAAATAATGATCCCCTGTTGCAAAAAGTGGTTTGCTGTTGCAGAAAATAGAGAATTATCTGCATGCAAACATGGATGAAATGTTCATTGTGCCACGAAAGAAAAGAAAGAAACAGGAGATAAAGGATTACTTTCATTCTTTATTGTACAACCCATGCAATTGTAGAGTAGAAGTGAAAAAACAAACAAAGAGCAAAAGTGCATCATATAACATCATAGAGAGGACACCATGTTATTAACCCCTAGTGGACTAGAGATGAAAACTGCCCAAATATCCCGCATCCAAAATGAAAACACCAATTTCAGCTTCGACAAAGGTCCTTTTGTGAATTTCATTGCTTTATTCTAAAACCACAGAAAGGTTCTCTTCTCTTTCAACCATGATCAACTTCAACAAGCGGCTCATTTTTCCGCGAGCAGATGGTCTCATGATGAAATCATTGCAAAACGCCACTGAGCTGCCATGAGCGGAGCAGTGAAAGTCACCAGAAGGCTGTTACTGCGGCTACACAGAAAATACATGACAACGTGGAACAAACAGACAGGAGGGATCATAAATGTGAGAAATCTGCCGTCACCAGCATCCACAGACAAGCTATGTGCCAACAGCAGAGGTTATTACGAACCCAAATAACAATTTCCCCCTTTGGCAATATCAACAGTTCCCTCAGGTTAAACATAAAGATGCCCTCAGCTCTCTGGGAGATGAGGAAACGCTCGAGTGCTGCTCTATCCACACACGGGCCGGGAGGTTTGCTTGTTTACTTTACTCGATTTTCGCCACCAACCACTATTTGTAAAACCTTAGCCCATTTTGGAGTCCAGTTTCAGTTGCTATGGCAGCCAGCTGATGCCTGACAGTCTTTTCTGGCAGAGGAGGAAACGAGGAAGAGGAGAGGGTCAGAGAGAGCGCACGGTGCCGAATCTAAGAGGCCAGACAACTTATTCACAGATCGAGTTTCAATTGATCTCCATGTACTCCATATCCCAATGACTATCTGAGGCCTAATGGTTTCTCTGAAAGCATCGTCTATGAACTGGGAAAGAGTTCAGATAAATGGACTGAACTAAATACAATCAGCCCGACATATCAGTGTTCAATCCATACAATCTGCTCTAATATAGTGAAATTTCCTCTGCATGTCCTTGCCTCAGATTTCATCATCAGAGTTGAGCTCACTTCTGAAATGGCATTCTGGGTGCTTTAAAAGCACACAGAGAAGTGCTTTATTCCATCAGAGCTGCTCTATTGTTCCCCATCCTTTTTCTGTCAACGCTTTTTACCTGAATGAAAGACTGCCCCCTTTTCATATCCCCACTCACTCTCTGATTTAGGGAGTGCTGATGCCTTTTGTCAAGCATTCCTGCTCTCTGTCAAGAACCGAGGAATTCCTTTACCCTCCTTTAGTGCCCCGAGACAATACCATTCAAGGTTATCGTTCAAAAGGCCAAAGAGGACGGGGAGAAAAGGCTGCCGCTAAGCTGGAGAGAGTTTTGGTGGCCGGGGGAATTGAAGCGAGGATGTGCGTGAATGGGCCGGCTTAATGTAAGACATTCCCTTTTGGGGCCTGAAGATCATCTGAAAGTGGGAAGATGATGTAAAAAGCATCCCTACCTGGGAAGGGAGGGGGGGGGGCAGTGACAAAATAAAACCCACCTTCACATGCACTTTTCTTTTTCTCTTCAGAACCTTACCTTTCTTCAAACAGTCAAAGAGGTTTTTTGACTGTTATTAAAACAGTTTTCCCAAAACATGTATCAGTATCATGAAGGAAGGAAAAAAAGGGGTGTCAGGCCTGCAGGATTAAGGACACACCCCAATACATTTATGATCCAAATTCAAAAATGGCTGCTGTCCTATCACAGTTCTAAAAACAACTACAGATGACTGATTTAACAGGATGTGTCTGTGCCCCAGAAGTCTATAAATGGACTTC